GATGATTATCACCATTTTTAATACCTAATATAGCTTCAATTGAATGAATTGCTTTAAGATTATTGGGATCGGATAAATCATCACTTGTTGTTGCTACCAATGGCATAGAATTTGTTGTTGTTATTGTTGTTTTACTTGTACCACTTTTCATTCTAGATATTTTCTGTCGTAATATGAATGTAGTCGTAATAATAATGATAAAGTCTTTTTTTTCTTGTCTCGTTTTATTCGCCTCTTACTAGTCCGTTGTTTTTTTAATTTATTTAATGAATAATCTAATAATGACCGTGCTGAATAGGTTAGTTGTGCGACGATGAAGAATAAAAAGGACGTGAAATGAGCAGAAAGAGAAGAAGCAAAACATTAATCAACAACGTCACTCTTTTTCCTACGCTTGCTTTTTTTCTCTCTCTCTCGCTCTCGCTCTCGTTTTTTTTTCTATTCGTCAAAAAAGCGACGATACGACGAATAGTAAAGGTGGATGTAATTATGGGCTAATATGACCAATGAATAAGGCGGGCCAATTTATTCATCATTATTGCTGTCAAAAAATTGGATCGACGTATTAAAGAATAAATGAATTTTTCTTTTCTAGATTCATCAACACTATGTAATTATTTTAAAGGAGATTAAATGAAAATATGAGAAACAAACAAAAGAAATTAATTCATCATCTTTTTTTTCTTATACCAATTAGAAACTAGTAAGTATTTTGACATGGATCACAAAAAAAAAAAAGAAAACAAAATTTTTATTAGAATAACTAATATATGTGTACTTTTCTTTTTTTATTAATTATATTTTGTCATGCTTACATAATTGTTTCATATAAGAAATAAAAATTAAGTTATAATATATTCTACAATGTTTGTTAGATATACTTTATTGAAATATTCATATTAAATAACATTATTAACCAAATTTTAATTATAGAAATAATGAATATGTTTGTGTTTATTCTAATACATAAATGACTAGCGTGACATTTTTATTCATGGCTATAAACAAATTACTTAAAGTTATTTTTTTTTCTCGTGTCATTGTTTTTAGAAGAAGGTAGAATATACTGAAGTTTTGTACCTGATAGAACTCTTTTGTTACTAGAATTATAAAAGCACTAGAAATGATAATAAAAAGTATTTCACCGAATTTAAATAAAATGTTCAAGTAAGAGACTATTCATAATCTTAAGTTGCATTACATGACCTTCCCATTTATAGTTCATTTATAATGAATGTTGAAGTTTTTGTATCGATCTGTCTATGTACTTACATTTCCGGTCAGGCTGTCAGAAGTCTCCTTGGACTGAATAATGTTGTTTTTAGGTTTTGATTATCGAACAGAAATAATTTTTTTTTTTGACTAAGCTTAACGAAATGATCTATTCAAATCGGTGCTATCATTGACTATTGGTTAATACTATTTTGAACTATTTTTCAATAAATTAAACTTTTCATATGGATTTTCTTATATAATGAATGCTTATATGATTATAATGAAAATTTTCGATGATACCAAAGAACATTTTTTTTTTTTATACAATCAGATTACTCTAGAGAAAAAACAAAATAAATTTAAATATCTCGCTGGACATAATAATATCTTTGTTTCATGAAAAGAGTCCCATGATGGTCACTTAAGTAAAATAGATAGATAATGCATCATCACGATTTGATTGTCTGTATCTAATGTTGATCAAATTAGTCTTTTTTCTCTATGATTAAATTAGATTTCTTCTTAAATAGAAATATAAGTAGGCTAGTATTCTTAAACACCGTTACATCTGCCGTCATACATTGAGAAGATTGAGTGGATGACTTTTTTCTTTTTTGATGTGACACATTCTGTCTGTTCTATTCTAATTAGCGGTTTCTGTAACGACAGAGTCGAGCAACTTACTCTTTTTTTCTTCTTCTTCTCTATTGCCTGCTGTGAAAAGTCAATTAGCTTGAACGAGTCTTTTTCGAAGTAAACTCACTTCAAAAAAAAAAAAGAAAGAAGAAAAGAAGGCAAGAGAAAAATTAAATGACATGATGATGAAACAACAAAGACAAAAAAAGAATCTTGTCTTCGACAATTACTGTCATCATTAACTTAGTTCACATCTTCTCTCTTCTTCTTCTTCTTTTAATATTAATATAAAGCTTTTCTCACCTGATTATGCTATCTATAGCGCTAATCATGACATGAAAACAAAAGAAATTCATCAACAACATGCAATGTACAACAATCTGTTCATTGGCGTGATCATATTTTTTGGAATTTGACCTTGTATTCTAGGACTTGATTTTTTATTGCTAACTTGGAGACAAAAAAAAACTGGATCGTATGCTCGACAGATTTTTTAATTAAATGAAAAAGAAAGCATGAAGTCTATTGGTTCATTTAATGATTAGCCATTTCGTTACTCTTCTACTGTCACCCACAATTTCCTGACATGATGTGTGATTTTATATCTTAGTTAATAGTATAGCGAAACAAGAAGATTAAATTCACTACTCTAATCGAATATTCACTTTCTCTTGCTTATCGATTTGCTAACAGAATTAACGACGAAAAGTCTTTCAATGACGGTGTGTGTGTGTGTGTATGTCAATGTGTGACCTCTCCATTCACTCCCATAATGATCACACATATATATAAATATACATATGTGTTGGGCTCAATTATCATCAAATTGACAAGTTGTCTTCATATACTTATTTTCTTCTAATCATTGTCAAAGTGAAAAGATCAGATGAATATATATATATATATATGGCCTTTTTATCGAATTATGTCACTAAAAATGGTGATGATGTGAGAATAACCTTTTTTTCTTTTTGTTGCTTTACTTTTAAAACTTAAAAGATCGAAGATGTTTATCAAATGTCAAATGTTTTATCAAGAACGATTGATCGAAGAAGAAAAGAAAAGAGCAATTCAATTAAATTTAATTGATTAAAAAATTTCTATTGTACTAAAAAAAAAGATTCTTTGGTTTTCTTTTTTTTCAGTACAATTGAATCTGATTGGACGGAAAATTAACTGAACGAAATTTTGTATTTTTGCATTCAAATAGAAAATTTTCTTCTATGATTTGTTTTTCATATACAATTGAATTCGTTAGAATAATAAGATAGTCCACAGAGACAAAGTGTATAGGAAGTTAAATCGTCCCACTAAATCATATATCAATCGAAAGTACATGATAAAACTAAAATGTTTCTACTAATTTCATGAAGTTTTAATTAAATTATGAATTTCATAGCTCTTTGATGGACTCCAACTCCAGATATAAATTATCAGTTGAGTGTTTAATTTAATGCAATAGAAGTCTAATGTACTTGGTAGGAACTCCTGCTATATTTACTATTTTTATCATTCAACAAATACTTTAATATTAAAGTTGAAGTAGCGAAAATTTTTATATTTGTCATTTGATGATCCCCTTTTGAAAAGTTAGAAAGTCACATATTTTCCAAAGTGAGGAAGAATTGGCGGCTTGTAACATGGGTAAATTTTTCGACGAAAAACCTGTTACGAAAGTTCTGTAAACCGTACATAGACTCACTTAGTTTTTTTTTTGCGCTGATTTAGAATGTCATATTAGTTGAGCTTAGAGAATAGTTTCTGTAGCTTTTCAAAAAGATTATCAAATGAACCATACGAGAATATTGATCAGTTCAAGTTTTATATTAAAATATATGTTGATAAATACAGTAAATATAGGAAGAGTATCGAAATTATGAAATTCATAATTTTAATAGTATTTTGTCTTGTCTATTTAATTATTATCAAATTTAATCTACTATGATACGATAGATTTTTAGAATAAAAACCTAAAATGCATTACTTTCTTGATAAATTTTAAGTTTCAAAATTTAATCAAAATTTTATTGAAACTAGTATGAAAATGTAGAAGTATTATATACTATCTTGTGATTTACAAATGATTACGCAAATTGATTTAAATAAATATAAAAATAAGGTTCAGCTTTTTTTTAAAGAATTATATATGTAAATAACTATTCCTTTAAAATGCTGTAACCCACCACCAGCAGTAAAAACATTGTCAATCGATGAGAAAAGAGAAAGAGGCAAACCAGCAAAAGCAAAACATGCTTTTCTAGTACAAAATTTGAATTTGAATTTTCTTTTTCCCTCATTCATACTTTGAATTTCTATTCAAATGTTCTTTTGCATTCTCTCTTATTTATTTGGAATTCTTTTTATATTTATTTAAATTTTTGTTTCTGCTAAATTAAGCTTTATAAGAATAAAATTCAAATTTTTTTACCGATACGTACATTGAAAAAAAGTGATCATTCAATATTTACACTGATCATTTTTATATAACTATTTACTCACCAAAAATTATGTTTTCTTTTTTTTTCTTTTTTTATCATTCAATTCAACTTTTAGTAAAACACATGATCTTATGAATTTAACTCAGACAACACTAGAATTCCAGCATTGATTGACACTCCATAGATAATTTAATTAACTGAAGAAGTAGATTTAATTTTGTTTAAATTGTTTATTTTTTTTTCGTCTTAATGATCGAATTCAATAAAAGGAAAATTATTTTTATATTTTTTTTTCTTAAGAATATATTTATATGCTTTTATTTTATTTTTGTAATTTTTATAAATAAATATGCATACGTAAATAAAAATAAAAGACTTTCTTAAGAAAGTAAGCTAACAGAAACCGAAAATCAGATGTGCCACATTATGGGAAGCCCTGAAAAAAACATATATGAATCATATGACACTTGAAATTAAGATCATACTACGTAGATGTTATAATAGGATTGTTTGATCTGGGTAAATTCAATTTATAAATTTTAGTGAAATTATTTAATTAAAGTACTATATGTTTTGTATTTAAAATTCTTTTAATGAAAATATTAATATATTGATAGAGACTCTGAGTAAAAAAAAACAACATGAAACTTCAAGAAAGTGTTTCAAATATTTTTAGAATTCAAAATAAAAACACATATTAGTAAAGTTAGATCAATTGGTTGTTATAATTGATTGTCGATGTGATTTATAAATTGCTGGCAAAGAAAAACGATTTTGTATTTCGTGTATTGTCGTAACACTTATTTGACTAAGTTCAGAATCTCTTTTGCGAAGACTTAATACTGATGATCTTCGACAAGATGATGCATGTGACATTTTACGTGCTCCATATCCTGGTCGTTGAAAACCAGTATTCATATTGATTGAACGTCGATAATTTGGTATAAATGGTTTTCGATGTGATGGTGATAGTTGTTGTTCAATTAAACGTAACATTTGTTCTGATTGACCAACAGATTGTTTAGTATTATTAATTAGTGGAAGTTTTGGAAGAGAAGAAATAGACGATGTGTTTTTATTAATTTCAGGAATAGATGACACTGAAATTTTTAATAAAATATTCTATTAAGAAAAAACAAAAATAGAAAATTTCATAAAATATTTACATATGTTATTTGAATTTTTTTCATTGAGATTTTTTTTTGAAGTTCGTAATGTTGCAACTGTTTTCCAATCATCTAATCGTTTAGCTGTATTTATTTTTTCTTCCATTAAATTAAAATTTTCTGATGAATCTAACAATGATGATGTCGACGAACTTATTGTTTGTTTTGATTTAGTTGTTTTTGGTCGTAGATTTTGCAATGGTATTTCTCTTGACATAAATACTGTTGATCGACATGCTTGAGCAAGAAAATTTCCTATTTTAGTATAGCCTAATTTTTTTGCTATATCTTCTGGAGTATTATTATGAGCATCTTTTATATCAAATCTTAATCGATAACGTACAAGATAATTAACAATAGCATGAACAAGAATTTCATTTCCATGTTCAACAGCATAATGTAAAGAACATGAACCTAATTTATCTCGTGCAAGTATATCAATATCACCTGGATTTGAATTAAGTAAATAAAGTGCTTCTCGTGTACAATTGAGATTTGCTGCCCAATTAAAAACATTTTTATGATAATAATCAAATGAATGTATATTAAGATTATAATTCTTAATTAAAAATTCAAATATTTGAAAACGTTTTTTTAATGATAAATAATTTTGTTGTTGTTGTAAAATATGTATTAGAAGATTTTGTCCAAGTGTGTTTTGTACGTGAATATTATAACCATGTTCAACGAAATAAATAATTTTATTCAATTGACATTGTTCAATAGCTTCAACAAGATGTCTTTCAGATTTGAATGCCATATGTTTTGTGTAAAAAATATACTGACAGTGTTGAATAAAAATTCATGATGATTTTAATAAAGATTGACTTCGTTGAAATAACGAAATAAGGAAGCATTAGAAAAAAAAAACTTTCTACAGGCGATGATTCGATCATGTTAGGAACTTGATTAATATTTATAATTAGATTTTTCTTGTGTTACTATATGACGATCTAACAACAAACAAAAAAAAGGTGCCTTGTACTGCTTCTATATTAAAATGGGTAACAATAAGAAGTGTCTATCGTATTTGACGCATGTGAAAAATCAATTTTTTGAGAAAAAAAAAATCTCAAAGTTTGAATATGAGTTCACGTTCGTAATCGAACTTATTTAACTTTTAAGAAATTGTAGCGCAAAGATAATACGAAAAATTAGTAGCGTGACCCAGACGGGCTGCAGCTTCTCCCTACCGATCGAAGCCAAACAAGATAAACTCTACGACAAGCACCTTCAACAGACGCAGTATCCTCCCACTGGAGATTTCGATCATTGTAAGCTTCACCAGCTATCAAAAATTTTTTAATTATCGATAGATTTGTTCTTAATTTAGATATTTCAATGTACAAAAAATTAAATATCAATTATTCCCACGACAAAAAATAGTTTCAGTCGGTATTTTGAGTATATTGTCACTATAAAAGTATGTTTTTAAAAGAATAATATCATATTGTGAAAGGCCGAGGAGTTTTCTATCACTCAGTATATTTATGTTTTAGTTTGCACCTATGTACTAGAAAATAGATCGACTGAAATGAAAACATCCTCATGTCCAGATTCCCATAGACTTGATTTTGTCACTGTCATCAAAATTAATTTTTAAATTTTCCATCAAAATAGAATTACCTTTTTAAAAAAGCAATTATATATCCTGATAGTACTTGAAATTCTCTATCATTTTTGTATATTGTTCACTTATCTTGCATTTATGTACAGAAGAATAGTTTGGGCATTATGCAGGCAAGCTCCATGATAAACTGTAAAAAACCTGAATCTTTTAGCTATCTGTTTCGTTGTTTTCTTTCAGAAACTCAGAATAAATGAGAAAATAAGTCGTCGTCAGAAGATATAATTATTTCTTTCTAAATTTATATCTATATTAATAATACAAGTGATAATAAATTGGAAACGAAAAGGACAATGACAGGAAAAAATCCAGTTTTTTAGGGTTTCTCGACAAGGACGTTTAAATATTACTTGAATTATTTTTCAGCATATAAATGCAAGACAAAACAACAATATACAGAATGATAGAGAATTTGAAGCTCTGTCAGAATGCATAATTACTTTTGTAAAAACTTATCTCCTTTGTATCTATAATTCGACGGAGGAACCAACAAACAATAGAGAAAATTGTGGATTTTTCGCACTTGTCGATTGGGGATATCTTCGTTGTACTCAAATTATTTTGTCAATAGACAAATGCAAGACAGTAGACAAATACATAGGAAGATAGAGAATTTCAAGCGCTATCAGAATATATAATTGCTTTTTTTTAAAAAGATAATTCTATAATGATGAAAAATTTAAAAAACTAATTTTGATGACAGTGACAAAGTCAAGTCTGTGGGAATCTGGACATGAGGATGTCTTCGTTGCAGTCGATCTATTTTCTAGTACATAAGTGCCAACAAAAGCATAAATATGTAGAATGATAGAATACTCCGTGGGCTTTCAGAATATGATATTATTCTTTTAAAAACATTCTTTTATAGTGACGATACATATCAAATATCGACTGAAACTATTTTTTGCTGTGGGAATATATTAAATTAATATACATCTTCTTCAGGTTTTGTGTTTTTGCTTCAATGCCAAAAGGCTGTCATACGAATCAACCCAATATTAGACTCCTAATTAACGATTTATTTGGCTCTATGTTAAATCGATATATTCTTGTATAATATTTTATATTGTGACATCTATCGTATAAATATCAAACTGTTTTATTTCTAATTAAAAGTTTCGATTGATTTTTAATTCTCTGTATTTTTAATTGTTTTTATAATAAAGTCCTAACGAAAGAAGATTTGCTTTTTATTTCATTGAGTCTGTTTCTATATCAACGAATTGATCTTATGGTTTTTATGACTCATCATAAAATTCATTGTTTGTTTGAACATAGGAAATTAAATAGGTTTACATTATCAATTCTTGTAAATGCCCCAACCCGATCGTATTCTTTTAGTTGTTTCAATTCTTGAAGGTAATATTAATCTTTAAAAAAAGAAATAAAAAACTTCATTTGTGTAAGGTCGAAATTTTCCAAATCAATCATCATGTCAATTAACTGTTGATGCTAAATTTGATGGTGAAATTCTTGTAACAGATCCTGTTGAATTTACATCAGCACCTGATATTAATCAAGAATTAGCTTGGGAACTTGATAAAAAAACTTTTCAGCTACATAAATTACAACGTAGTGTTATTAAATGTAATGCATATTCAACAACATCATCTGGACAACGTGAAAATATTGGTTATTTTATAATTGATATTCGACCATTAAATACAACTCAAGTAATTATTTGTTTTTTTTTCTTTTGGAGAAAATAATTTTAAAATATAAAAATATATTTTTTAGAAAATTCGTTGGCATCGTTTATTACAAACAAAATATCCAAAATTAAAACCAGAATTTAGTATTTGCGCATATATTGAAGATGATCAAGCAACAAGAAGTGAATCAACAACAGCAAAAATTAGTAATGAAAAAAAATATATATACATATTATTCAATTCTTCTTATTCATTAAACCTCTATTCTAGGTAAAACATCATCAAATACAGGTATATCATCAACTACAAATTCAGCTCGTTCAAAAAATCTTCAACCAATTCTTCTTGAAGATAAAGGTTATTATCAATTAGGATCTAATGTTTCATCAGCAGAAATATTTTCTTTATCAATAACAATACGTTCTGCAAAAAATCTTATACATGTAAGTAAGAAAAAATATACAGTGCGATTCAAAATTGATCATACATCTAACTGATTGAATTGCAATTTTCATCAAAATGTAACCTCATTTTTATAATTTATTAGTTCTCTATGTCATATATTTACTCTGCCGGACTAGAAATATTCAACATGATCTGTTTCTATTTTGCACAAAATTATTGAATATTATATTTTGCATTTCAATACGAAGAAAATGTTTCTTTTAGTTTTTTTTGGTCAAAATATTATAAACAATACAACTATTTAACCGACAAGATAAATTACGAAATTTTCATTTGTAATATGTCCTTATATTTTTGTGTTTTGAGGTATGATTAATTTTAAGCAAAATCGAAACACATCATTATTTATATTCCTGGTGTGGGTGTAGGTGTGAGTCATGAGTTCGCCTACATTCAAAAAGAAAAAAAGAGACATCAACATTGAAAGTTGCTATGACGCACTTGGCGTCCCCTGACAAGCTCTTAGAAGCTTACTGGGAGTTTTTTGGAGCCCATGGAAATTGTAAAAACATAGAGGATTCCATTATTCATCCCATTCATAATGAAATATAACGTTGTTATAATGCGTTAATACAGAAGCAGAAATTTGATTGATGATTACAAGTATTTCTACCATCTTATTTGTGTATTACTTCGAAAACTTTTTACTTATTACCAGTAATGATATTGTAGCATTCCTACTAGTCTGGTATAAAGATGTACAGAAGAAACTTTTTATATATCCGGAGTGAGAGAAATTTTCTAACCCTTGTCTCATCCTTATCCGGCTCGGTAGAGTAAGATACCATGGAAACTATTTTAAAATATTAGAAAAACAAAACAATCGGTAATATGTATGATCAATTTTGAGTACCACTAAATATATATATATATATATATTTATTTATTTTCTATTAACTATTTTTACTGAAAATTTTAGCTTATACCATCAAGTACGAATTTAAATACTCAAGTTGGGTATTTTTTTGATTATGCACTTTTTGGTAATAAAATAAAAACAGAAACATTTCATAATTTAATTGAACCTGAATTTTATCCTGAACGTGCTAGTGTTCGTATACGTTCATCAATTCAATTACTTCGATCTTATTTTGAAACATATCATCCAATTGAATTTAATTTATGGTCTGGTAATGATATTATAGGTCAAACACAAATACCATTACATAAAATTGTTAAGCCCTTACAACAAAAATCTGGTATGGATAAAACATTTGATGTATTAACAGAAGTATATCATTTACGACTTGCTCCATCAAGTGGACATGAAAAAACAGAAATTGTTGAAGATGAAGATTCACAACCGATTGTTAAAGTTGAAATATCATTAACACGAGAAACACCTATAAGTGAACAAAAATCAAATAGTGATAAACAACCACAAAAACGACCAAACAGTGCTAATAATAATCACAGTTCAAATACGACAGTTGTTGAACATGAAAATAGGTAATCGATTTTTTTCAAGTTATGTACTAATAAGTCAATCTTGCCAAATGATATATCGACTTTGAGAGATGTCTTGATTTATGAGCTTTGTTCTATTGAGATAAGAGAAATTGTAAAAGGATTCGTGTCTATGAAACTTTCTTCTTAAATTTTAGTGAAGTTTTTTTATAAAGTACTACGATTAGATACAGGTATTTTTCTTCATTTGGACAAAAACAATCTCAAAGGTTTGGATACATCCCTTGTACAATTCAGCGTTTCAAAGAAAAACTAGAACCACAACTTTTTAATCATCAGATAGATACAAAAATTCTTAAATCTATGTCAAGAAATTTTCTTTGTAGAGATTAAAGTTTTCAGTATATATGTATACTATTTTTTTGTTTAAGTACTATAGATCTCAACTATTTAATAGCAAAAATATATTTAAAATTTTTATATCTATCGGATGATTTAACAGTTTCGTCTCCATGTGATATACTTTGGAAATTCAATCGGAACTACTGAATTTTAATATCTAGTCACTGAAGCATTGGAACTAGAGCTCATTGGGCCCAAAAAAAAAAG